TCAATTGATATTTTGATATGTAGCTTCCTGAAGAAATGACTTCCTGCTTTTCCTAGGCATTTAAAACTTCAAATATTTTAAAAAAATAAAATTACCATTTGCTTTTGGTGCACACTTTTCCACGCACACTCATTTTTTACCATGAACACACACAATAAGCCAGCTTTTCTTAGAAAAAAATGTGATGCATTCCAGTTCTCAGTTACAGCACCATTCTTCAGAAGTTCAAGTGGGAACAATGTGGACACAGGACGATTGGAAACCGTATGAGGGCAAGCCCTCCTTTCTGCCCCCGCATTTCGCATAGCAGTCACCAATTTTTGGTGCAAACAAGAAAAAGATGCTTGGGTGACAACTTACTGAGGCCAATTAAAAAAAAAAAAATCCTCCCAACCGTATTCTGATCTATGTTTCAAAAATGGGAATAACTCAGCTCTGTCACTTCTGCTGGAGTAACTTTCTATCTATGCTGAGATCTTTTTTTTTTTTTTTTAAAAAAAAAAAAAAGGTGGCATGTGTCTTACAAATATTTCAGCTCTTCTGGCTCTTCACTTTTACTATAAGGAATGATTATAGGCTAAGGTCACAGAACAGAGCCACTAACCTTTGTTTGAACTTCCTCGTATGCAGCACATGTGAGTATTTCATTATCGGTTCAGAGGAATAGCTGACTGACAGGGCATGCAAACCAGGAAAACGTGCAGTTTTAATTTTAAGTCTCCTTCTTCCAGCCTGCCCCTACTTCCTCCGTATGCATATTAAGGAGGAAGCTGTATCTTTAAGAAATATACTTTTTCTCTCTGTTTCCTGTGGAAATAGTAATAGACGCTGCCAATGGGATGGAGCTCTTTAAGGATGTTGTGTAAAACCGCATTAGTTGTGGTGCTGAGCGCAGAGGTGGCTTTTTTTTTCCCCTCTCCAGAGGAAAGGCAGAGACGGGGCAAATTTTGGAGAACGGGTAGCAAAGATGCTCTGGAACAGCAATAATAACCAGCCCCTTCCCTCCACCAAACTGGCCGCTATTGACTATTCATGGCAAAGCGTCCAAAGCGCAGCGGCAGAGCCTGTGGAAAATGACAGCGTGTAGCAAGATTGACTGGCATTTCCTTCGCGCTGGGTCACATGCCTCCCAATTCACACACGCACACAGCCTCGCAGGCTGATCAAATGACTTCTATCTCTGCAGTCCGCATACCTTCCGCAGAAAGAGTTGCTTTATTATGCACATATACAGCTCTGTTTTCAATCAGTCACCTTGAGCGAATGACTGAGGGCCAGTGTTCGCTCTGTCCGGAGGTCTCCGCGTTTGCTCTCTTAGAGGCATAGTCTCCAGCCCGTAAGCTTTTTTTTTTTTTTTCCCTTTTGGGGGAGGAAAAGAAGAAAAGAAAACAAATACGCAGGCACCCCTCCTGCCGTCTCCTCCCCAGAAACCTTTCTAGGAAGCCGTGCTGAGCTGGGAAAGTGCAGGACTTGCACCTCTTTTCGGGGCAAGCTGCGCTGCAAAGGGCTGATTTTTGGGCCGCTGCGGCTGCAGCGGGACTATCGCTTGTGTGAGCCCGGGCTCGCAGGATCGGGGGGTGCTCGGAGCGCGGGCACCTGCTGCGGCTCGGAGCAATTCGGGGCGCCGGGCGCCCACGCGAGCCTTCCCTGCTCAGCTGCTGCTAGGAGGTTCAGATCACCTCCATCTCCGGACCCGAAGAGATAGGCGCATGCAGCGATGAGGTGAACCCAGGAACCAGCTGGCTGGCCAGGACGCGGTAATTAGCTCAGCACTGTGCCAGCCTTATTAAGGGCAGTGCAGGTGATGATGACGTTGGCGCACTGATTCATTACTTCTGGAGGGGAAAATCCGCCTAGTAAATGCTGAAGCACAGTAAATATTTTTGGCTCCTGACAGATTGATCCGTGCATTATGCTGATTAGCCTATATTTGTGGAACTGAGGAAGTTAAAAATAAAGTTGGTGGAAAGCTACAAGATAAGGAGGGGATTTGTATTTTATGGCCACAAGCAATAAACTTCATTTTTTATTTGTTTTTTCGGTGGTAAAAATTTCAACACTTTTTTCCCCCCTCCTTCCCTTCCCTTTCCCGTTCCCTTCTTTGGCTCTAGGTTTCACTGTTAGGTGAAAGCCCATAATTTATTTTCTCTTGCCAGTAATACTCTGGGAGGGAGCTGTAAATCTAGAGCACATACAGTTGTGAAATGATTTCTGAAAGAATTCTTTTGCAAATATGTGGTGCAATCCTGGAAAATGCTTAGGCGCTTGCAGTCCTTAGGGGGTGGTACAGGCATATCAAAGCATGTAGCAGCATGTGTACTCAGGGAGACTGGATGCTTAGGACTTTCCTGTGAGCTAGAGGGCTTTACAAGGTTTAGTTCGTGGAGATAAATGATTAAACCTGACTTCTGACTGTTGCTGTTTTGTTTCCTACCTTCAGGCTCTTACTTGAACTTTTGCCGCGTGGTATATGCTGTTGGGATACTCTTAGGAGATCGTCCAGGAATGGTGGATCACTTGCTGCCTACTGATGAGTCTTTTTCATCTACAAGATCTCCTCTTGGATACTTTGGGGACATGACAGCAGGGGTGAGGTCCTACCAAATGCTGCCCTCACCCCTGTCAGAAGATGACAGTGACTCTTCCAGCTTTTGTTCCTGTTCCAGCCCTGATTCCCAGGTTCTCAGCTCTAGCTATGGGAGCACATCTAGTGCCGAAAGCCAGGACAGTATCTTAGACTACTTATTGTCCCAGGCATCTTTGGGGAACGCTGCTGCAGCTTGGTGGAACAGAAGGAGACGTCAGCCCACAGTGAAAGAGGAGTATTTTAGGTTGCCTGAATTTGCAGTGGATATGGAAGACTCTGGACCATTTCAGCCTACGCTTGAGGAAATTGAGGAATTTCTGGAGGAAAACATGGAGTTGGAGCTCAAAGAAAGACCTAAAAGTGAGACCAAGGACTTGAGAGCTTGCAGCCAAGTTTCTGTTGCTTCAATACAGCAAAAAGACCATATGGTACCCAGCGCTAGTTTAAAAGAGAGTAAAAATGAACAATTGAGCAGCTCAATGGAAGGTGGCCAGTCTTCAAATGGAGGAATGTCCCTGGAGAATGGTATACCAGTTATGCTCCAAATCCAGCCTGTACAGATCAAACAGGAGTCCAACACGAGCCCTAGTTCCCAAGGACCAGCACAAGAGAATATTAAAGTTGCACAGCTCCTAGTCAACATCCAAGGACAGACATTTGCCCTTGTGCCCCAGATAGTTCAGTCATCCAATTTGAACTTGCCCTCTAAATTTGTCCGCATTGCTCCCGTCCCCATCGCCGCCAAGCCAATTGGGCCAGGAGGCATGATCCAGGGTCAGACAGGAATCATCATGGGTCAGAAATTTCAAAAGAGCCCTGCAGCAGAACTCATTAAAATGCACAAATGTTCTTTCCCTGGCTGCACCAAGATGTATACGAAAAGCAGCCATTTGAAAGCCCACCTGAGGAGGCATACAGGAGAAAAGCCTTTTGCATGCACGTGGCCAGGTTGCGGATGGAGGTTAGTACTGGGATGCAGCAGTGTCCAACTCCCTCACCCCCTGCTCACTTGAGCAAACAGGTTTGCAGTCTGTTGATTTATAAACAGTTTCCATTGCCTCAAACTTGCTCAGCTGATTTGAGAGTTAAGACCTTTTTCTTCCTATTAGGTGATCCAAGGGCTTTGATCAACTCTTAAACCACTAGTAGTTAGTATTTCATTTCAAGATAGTCAGATTAAGCTTGTCACTGCAGGCAGTGCCTTGCAGACACATTGGTCTTGTTGCAACACACCAGCTGCAGCAGATGCTGAGGCCTGTAGATGAACGGGTTGGTTGAGGGCTGAATCTCTGCATGGCTCGGCTAGGTGCAGGTCCAGCTGCATGGGGCTGCACATGATCAGTGATGGGCTGTGATAAATGCATGGGGTTAAGATGTCCAGTATTTCATGCAGTTTTATAGAGAACGCACCCCATCCCACTCCTTCTGGAAATGTTGTCGGTGATGTCCCAGTGTGCTCCGTGCTTTATCCTCTACCTCTGTTCAGAAAGGTGCGTGGGTTGCAAAAAGCTGTCAGATGTAACAACCTAACCAGAAGCCTGAGGATAAATTAATCCTCAAAACATTGCTTGAATGGAAGATAGCAGAACGTATGAGCAGAACGTATCATAGAAAGTTTCTCTCAATCTTTTTTAATGCAAATTGAAAAAATTAAAACCTTTTTAAAACCAAAAGTTGAATTTTTTTGGTGGGAAACTTCGATGGAAACCCGCCTCCCTCTTTCCTGTGCTAATAGCCTGCCTCCTGGCAAGTGTTAACAAAGAGCACCACAAATTATGAGGGAAGCAAAACATAATCTTTACTCCCTTGTATTAAATTAAACCAGACTTCTTTCAAAGAATATCCTGCAAAGCTTCTGCGAGCAATGTCTAATGAGGAAATGGGTGGTGATCAGGGGGAACGGACGAGGTAAAAAGTAACAGGAGAGGGCTGAGTAAAAATGCAAGTATGTGAGACATGCAACAATTAGAGATGCCTGAATTGGTTTGAGGAAAAAGGTCAGAGCAGGGCTGAATCCTCTGCTCCCAAAGCAGAACAGTTTGGAGTTTGGGCCTCATCAGAGGGACCGAGTGGATCAATGCAACTAAGTTCCTCAGTGACTTTCTTCCCCTTTGCCGTTTATGGCAGTTCTACGAACTGGTTACCATTTTCTTTCTGTTATTTTGTACTGGTGGTGTTTTTCATGAGCCGTGCTCAGAGGCTTGCTGCTCGGGATGTGCTGAAATGAAAGCCAGGTTATGTAGCTGATTGGACCCATAAGGCACAGGCTGTTTTATCCCTGACCTGTAGCTGAAGCATGCAGTCCTTTTCCCTGGGCTGTCAGCGTAAGCGCTCACAGGCAGCAAAGGAAGGCAAGCTTTGCCTTCTGCCTGCAAACAAGCCTGGGTGTCATGTTGGCTTTCGCTGAGCTGGGACACAAGCAAAGCCTTCATATTTGTGAAAAATGCGCATGGTGCGCGCGGCTTTGCCTGATCCGCCCTGAGGTTTATATCAAAGTTCCCAGTAACGTTTGCAGGTCAAGATCAGGAGCCTGACGTGTCACCTCTGGGTGACCTTATATAGCTCTGCCTTATTACAGAGCTAGTGTTTTCCAGGCTGCAAAACCAAGGAAAATTTAGGAAAATATAGGAAGAAGTAAGGGATGGAGCTTGAATTTAGGCCTGGGTTGCCTGCCTTCTCCCAGCGGTACCACGAATAGCACGCATAAGAAGCGGGATTCAGTTGTAAGGCAGGAAGAGGGAGGTACAGAGCCAGCAGTTCAGAGCGCCCTGGACTTTTTATTCCCAGCCAGCCAGCACTCTTTAAAGATGAGAAGCCCAACGGAGATGAGAAAGTCATCAGCTTAGGTACAAAGAATATTTGTCTTGTCCACAAACAGCTGCCTAAAGAGTTATTCAGATGCCCCCCCCCTCCCTTTTCCTTTGTCTGCAGTTGGGTTTGTACAGCCCAAGCCGGTACCCCCGTCCCCAACGCCCCCAAAGGCTGAAGGCTCTGGACGGCGGCGGGAGCTTTCTGGGCGCGGGAGAGGGCATCGCTGCGGGAGCTGCGGCCCGCGCTGGCGGCTGGCTCTCTGGCGCGCCGGCCCGAGGTCCGCGCGCGTCCCCCGGGGGGGTTGCGCAGCCCTCAAAGGCCGAGCCGCAGCAACGCGCCAGGCCGCCTCCGGCTGAGCGCTGCGTTGCTCGGCGCTCTTTCGTCCGTCAAGCGTGTTTACCTTTTCCAGGAGTTCGGAGGGAGCTGCGATCTCATGTGACTAAGTCAAATATATCTGGAATCTGTGTTCGCTCCCAGTTTTTATATCATCTCAGATGAATTTAAGTACTAAAACACTGCCGGGCTCTGCTCCCACCGCCTGCATTCTTGCGCTCGTTTGTATATTTATTTTTTCACCAAAAACACTTAACGACGTGAGCTCGCCGAATATGGTAATTTAAGGAAACAAAATGGTGCCGAGCGCGCAGCGGCGGAGTGGCGGGGGATTAACGCTTTCCCTGCTCGCTGCGGGGGACGTTATAGCGACGTCAAGCTCAGTCTGTTTAAATATA